GATGGCCTACAACCCAATAGCGATGGCCTCCAACCTACTAGCGATGGCCTCCAACCCAATAGCAATGGCCTCCAACCTACTAGCGATGGCCTCCAACCCAATAGCGATGGCCTCCAACCTAATAGCGATGGCCTCCAACCCAATAGCGATGGCCTCCTCCAACCCAATAGCGATGGCCTCCAACCTAATAGCGATGGCCTCCAACCTAGTAGCCATGGCCTCCAATAGCATTAGCCTCCAACCCAAACAAACACCAACTCTGTAGGCACGCATAAGGCAGTCGAACTTGCCAAATGATTTGAACTTACCTCACTATAATCGCACCTGAGAAGTTTGTTGGCCATGGCGTTCTTGCGGGGGCCATCAGGCTCCATACAGGGTGGGCAAACATCAAAGCCACAGTCTTTGCAGGCATAAGAGATGCTTCCTTGCACCGGCGGCAGATGAAAAGCGAAGAAGCCATATGGGTTAGAGCCGGATTCGGAAACTAATCGGTCGGATTCTGAAACTAGGGTTCTGAAACTGGGGTTCTGAAACTAGGGTTCTGAAACTTGGATTCTGAAACTGGTATTCTGAAACTGGTGTTCTGAAACTAGGATTCTGAAACTGGGGTTCTGAAACTAGGATTCTGAAACTGGGCTTCTGAAACTTGTATTCTGAAACTGGAAAGTCAGATTCTGCAACTGGTATTCTGAAACTGGAAAGTCAGATTCTGCAACTGGTATTCTGAAACTGGAAAGTCAGATTCTGCAACTTGCCTTCTGAAACTTGCAACTGGTGATCTCCACATCATGCGATAGCGTGTGTGCCTGTGACATCACCTTCGAAGCACATCCAAACAAACGTCATTAGCCCCCCACCCAACCCCCCCACCCCCAACCCCCCCTTGTCCCCATCGTGTGATCTCGACATCCCTCATCATTCACAAAGTTGCGGAATCCTAGTGAGGGAGTCCACAATGTTGCGGAATCCTAGTTGCGGAACGCCAGTTGCGGAATCCCAGTTGCAGAATCCTAGTTACGGAATCTTGACAGTTGCGGAATCCTAGTTTCGGAATCCTAGTTGCGGAATCCTAGTTGCGGAATTCTAGTTGCGGAATCCTAGTTGCGGAATCCTAGTTTCGGAATCCCAGTTGCGGAATCCCAGTTGCGGAATCCGACCAAACAGTTGCGGAATCCTAGTTGCGGAATCCTGCGCAGTTGCAGAACTCGACTTTATCCAAGCCATATGTGCTTCAGTGAGCTTTAAATAAGACACAACGTGTTTGGGGCAATAGACCGTTCATGACAATTCCATATTCATACAGTGGCCCTGGTGGGTGTTCGTCAGTAGGTAGAGTTTCAAGTACGGTAAGCATCCACATGGATATCAATTGTCTCACCCTGCTGGCGGAGTGGACACTCTTCAGCTCAGGCAAAATGACCCATCTATAGACTGAAAGTCCACCAATGCTATGTGCTTTTGTGTCTTAACTTATCTTTCCTCACATTCATGCTCGCAGCTGAGTGTCCGGGAGGCAAGAATCCACTGCAAAGGTCGCACATGCGGCCCAGATTTCCGAGGTTCGTTTTCTGCAAGCCATGTGCTCCAGGACAATCCACGGCACGCACAGGCGTTTCAGCCGGCACTTCAGTCGGCGCTTCGGCCAGCGCTTCAGTCCGCGCTTCAGCCGGCACTTCAGTCGGCCCTTCAGTCGGCACTTCAGTCGGCACTTCAGTCGGCCCTTCAGTCGGCGCTTCAGTCAGCACTTCAGTCGGCGCTTCAGTCGGCGCTTCGGCCGGCGCTTCAGTCCGCGCTTCAGCCGGCACTTCAGTCGGCCCTTCAGTCGGCACTTCAGTCGGCACTTCAGTCGGCCCTTCAGTCGGCACTTCAGTCGGAGCTTCAGTCCGCGCTTCAGTCGGCACTTCAGTCGGCCCTTCAGTCAGCGCTTCAGTCGGCGCTTCAGTCGGCGCTACAGTCGGCCCTTCAGTCGGCACTTCAGTCAGCGCTTCAGCTGGCGCTTCAGCCGGCTCAGCTGGTGCAGCCATGGCACCACCAAACCCAGGAACAAAAACAGTGGAAGACTCCTTTTGGGTAGTATAGTAGTACGGATTGGTTTGCTGAAGATCGAAGGATTCAACATGATTCGAAGCCAGCATTTCATGATTCAACAGGATTCACTCCGCTCAATGATGCTGGACATCTGTCAACCTTTGGATGGCCCTAAAAGTCTACATTTCGCCAGCGCGGTGAAGTTCAACTTTTGTCTTCCGATTCAACCTAGCTCGCCAGCTCCAGGGGCCGTCTTTTAGAAAGAAGGCTGAAGTTCGACGGCGGAGAAGCAGGACGCTGAGTCACGTGTGCAAAGGTGAGGAGTTTGCGGATTTTCGGGGGGTTGGGTCTTCAGAACTTTGCATGTGCCACTGCAACGATCTTCAGGCTTTGGAGCGTGGCTCCATGTGTCCATATGTGTCCGCATGATTCACTCAAACCACGTGTGCCACTCAAACCACGTGTGCCACCGCCCTTTCTTACCTCGACTGTCATTTTGCTCACCTGCTCTAATAGCTGTCCTATGAGTCATATGCGTCGCTGGATCTGCCAAGGACGAGCTGTGGCAATTGGCCAAAAGTAAGGTGCGATGTACGATCTGCACCCCCCAAGTAGTTGTTTGTTTGACGACCTGAAAATAGGCCTTGTTTATAGGCAAACCGGTAGCAGGGGGACAAATGGGAGGCCATCGCTAGTAGGTTGGAGGCCGTTGCTATGAGGTTCCTTTTGGGTTGCTGGACAGAGCTGTGAAACTTCAATGTCTGGTGATGGCCCTTTTTGACCCAGAGCTTCTGCCCAGCGGCCATGAAGAGATCCCCAGTGACCGCTGACAGCACACGCACCACAGGCACGGATGAAATCTCCATGGCGGAGAACACGAGGGATGTTCAATTGCCAGTGGCCAAAGGCAGTGGGTAAAGATAGAGTGGGTGTGAAATTGTCCAAGACGTTCCCAAAAGCGATTCACCCGTTTGTGAAGGGAGACTCGAGGTTGAAATAGTTGTTTGCCCGAGTCAAAGTCTTTCTCACAGGAGTGTGTCTTCATGATGACATCCATGAAGTCTGGAGTGACATCCATGAACCCTGGAGCGAAGACCCTCCTCCTCTGCACTTCCATATTGCACTATGCTGGTGCAAAATTCAAGGCGCCATCCGTGAGGCTCGTGTTCACATCACTCGGTACGAGAACGGCTAAGGTTGGAGACGCCTTGGGATCCGAAGAACGAAGCGATTCTCGACCGATGGGGCACCTGAGGAGCAAATACATCGCAATGGCCTCCAACCTAAGAGCGGCCTGAAACTGCTTGAGGCCATGCCAGTTCCAGCGACTGACTGTCCGTATGTGTTGTCTTTCTCATCCGTTGGGACCTTTGGTGAAGGGGCTACTATGAACTTCTTCGCAAAATGTTTCTAATTGTTTCTACCCCAAAACCAACTCACCCCAAAAGTCTCCACATATAACTTGCACCAACCACCGCCAGCCTGCAATTTGTTCAAGGCCACGAGCAGGTTGAGACCACACCCAAACTCCACTCCAAGCTTTGAAGCCTTTCGGAGTCTTTAGTCTTGTGCGGCAGTTCTGCGACAGTTCTTAGGGTCACCGGTTGATTGGTGACCCGTTCCATTGGAGCTGGGTTGCGTTTCGTCCCTAAGAAATTACAAGGTTTGTAGTGGTCACATTGAAACCCCACCGACTGTGCAAATGATGCATCGGCTGCTCCCAACAAAAGATACACCGAAAGGCTCAACGGGAGTTGTCCAAAGCGCTTGTCAGGCTCCCGGGCCCCTGCATAGGGCGACCTCGTGACCATGGGCGTGCCATTTTGGAGACCAAAAAGAGAGGCTATTAGGTTGGAGGCCATCGCGATTAGGTTGGAGGCCATTCCTATTAGGTTGGAGGCCATTGCTTCTAGGTTGGATCGACGTTGTACGCATGTGCCAATTCCCGGGGTCATTAATCTGGGCGTTGCCTTGTTTTGGATCTGGGTGAGCAGAGAATGTGGAAAGGCATACGGCAGGATAGTATGTTCGATCTTGTAGGGTCTCATTGCACAGAGTTCAATAGAGTCATTCAATTCCATTGGACACATATACCTCCCTCCCGACCCGGAGCAGTTGCATCGACCCGGAAAGCACGCACGAACGCGCGCCGACCCCCAACGGGTGCCCCGAGCAGGCGCAAAGCCGATGCGTCTCGGAGCTCTGTGCAGCACAACTTGGACGCCTCGGGTGTCTCGGCAGGTATTAGGAGCAAGGACGCTACGTTCGGAGCAACGGGCATCGCTACTAGGAGTAAGGACGCTACTAGGGGCTCCTGGCCTTACTACTAGGAGCAAGGATGCTACTGGTAACAAGTGCAGGGCCCATGGAGCTCACGAAAATGACCAAAGATGCAGCGAATGCAGACCCCATGGTGGTGGATTGACGTGGTCAACGGCACTTCACCGTGCTGTTGTGCCCAAACTTTTTCCACCGCGAGAGCGCTCCTCTCGGCCGAAAACTGCAGATGCAGGCCGTGGATGGGGTGGGTTTAAGCATTGTGGCATTGTGAAGTTCAGTGACCCATCAATCCTGAGCATTCAGCATTTTTGGTTGCGCGATGACCAAATGCCTTCAACGACCTCGTTTCTCCTCTTCAATGACCTCGTTCTTCTCCAGTGACATTTCTGTGATCTCTTCACGGAGGCATTCCTCTTGGCCGGTCTGCTTGCGCAAACCCGCAATCCCTCCATGGGATAAAACAGAGGCCGATGTCACCCATTGCTGACAGCGTGGCATGGGATGATCATCTCATTCAAAAGCTTTATGCTTAAACCTCTTAGGGCATCGCTACTAGGAGCAAGGACGCTACTAGGGGCTCCTGGCCTTACTACTAGGAGCAAGGACACTATTAGGAGCAAAGTGCATCACTACGAACGGAGCAAGGACGCTACTTCTAGTGTCAACCACCTGTTCTCGTGGTTCCATCCTCATGCCAACAACACCGCTGGCCGCTGACCGGCGGAACCGGCGTCACTCGCGTTGCGGACCACATTCTGGAAAGGCTTTCCACGGCTTAAGGCCAAAAGGTTACTTGCAGCCTGGCAGCGGGAAAAGGTCACAACGAGTCTGAAGCTTGGCAGGCTGAAGCTTCACCCTGCCCACATGTTTCTTAGAACAAAACATCGCAGTCCAGTTTGTAACACCTATCTTTGCGATCTGATTTGTTAACTTCAAATCACAATGCTTCTTGAAAGGAACCTCGTCCTTGAACCCACACATTACCTCCGCTAGGCAATGCATTTTGGATGGCATGTCCTTCTCCAGAAGCATTGGTCAAACTTTCAATACCCCTTCCCACTGCGAAAGTTCAGGAAAAATAAAACAAGAATTCAAATCTCAATTGTGGACTCCACCGGTTCTAGATATCCGAGGCCCATCAAAAGCGCCTCTCACGACACAGTCCGAGCACGACGCGCCGACGCGCACGGTCGCCTGATCCAGGGTGGTCTCATGTGCCTCGGCCGTGTTCACACTGACCTCGGAAGGTGAGCAGAAGGCTCAACGTTCAAAAGCCTAATAGTGATGGCCTCCAAAAGAACATGACGACAAAACCATCTTAGGCATTTTTTTTTTCATTGCCAAGTCCCAAATTGACAGCTTAGATGTCATCGACGAGCCACATGCAGTAAAACAGGAAAGCAGCACTGAAAGCAACCATGACACACAGTCGTGACATCCGTGGGATGGTTTGGAGCTGATCTGCTGAGATCCCCTTCGTGTTAGATTGGAGGCCATCGCTCTGGCCATCGCTATTAGCAACAAGGGCATTACTACTAGTAGCAAGAAGCTAGCAGGTTGGAGGCCATCGCTAGTAGGTCATTCGACCTCCTGCGTTGCAGCTATGTGACATGAGGCGTCATCCAGACCTGCGGGCGCTGGGTGTAGCGGTGTAGGAAGGCACTCGCAGGCACCCCCTAGGCACCCCAGCCCTTGGGGAAATCGACCTACGCTTTGACCGTTGGGCCAACCTACCCATCCGGATTTGCCAGTTCGACTCACCGATGGTGAAAGGCACTGCAAGGCATGGAACTCGGAAGCACCAGAAGCCGTCTTGGTCCCGGGAAGTGAGATGGTGCGGTGGGTGTCGTTGATACTTCGGACCAGGAGGGATCCTCCGAGTCTCAACGTGTTTGATCTTCCATCACCTCGCCTCTATCACGGTCAGTGGGTGTTTATTTGCTTGAAATGTCAGGATCTTGTGTCATACTAAAAATGCCGATCGAGTCATCAACAGCACTTGATGCTGCAACTCTTGTACCTGGCGACAATCCTTCGACAGGATCTGGGAGATCGAGAACCACCTGAGAACCACCCTCCAAAAGTGTGATACGGTGTTCACCTGCTTTCAGCCATGAACCATCAGGACCATGCTTCTGAATCACACTGCATCAACGCGTCAACTATTATAAAGATCTGCCGACCTCACCATGTCCAACCGTGTTACATCCATCATTGATTCACAACCATTCAAACACATTATAGAGAAACTTTAAAAAAAGGACGAATAAGCCTCAGCGTCCACCCCCTCATACCCAGTCTGGCCCAACACATCACCCCACCGAGCGGCATTCGGCAGGCTGCTGAAGTTGAAGGTGGAAGGCCAAGTGCCATTTTGGAACCACGAGAAATCATTCCACCAGACCTCTTCCGGATGTTCTCGTGGGTGTTCTTTTCACTCATTCCTGTCGTTCTTTCCACTCATTCCTTTGAGGTTCTAGCTAGTCTGTCTGTCCAGGTTTCTTCAGATCTCCAGCAACTTCACTGCCTTTCTATTGTCAGTCAGAAGCGCCAAAAAATGTAAATAAGAATTCGCTCTGGAAATCAGGTCTGCTCCGAAGCTTGTAGCCAAAAAAGACAAGATGGTGATATATGTTCGATCCAAAATGATCCTGAAGATCTATTTTCAGTCGAGCAACATCCAGCACTGCGCCACCTGCAACGGATTCGGGGTGCTTGACTCGGGCGCCCGGTTCGGCGCGGTGGTCTCCTCTTCCCCCGAACTGCGGGTCAGGTAGCATTTTGATCTACACTCCGAACAATCGAAGAAAAAGGCCCCGATGGCAAGCAAATGCTTGTCCACTTCCACGTAATTTTATGACAAACCAAGGAAGTTAGGAGCAAGGATGCTACTAGGGGCTCCTGGCCTCGCTACTTAGGAGCAAGGGCATCGCTATTAGAAACAAGAAATCATAATTAAAAGCTTGTCGTGGATGTCTTGGAGGCAAAGCTCTCCGAAGCGTTTGATGACAAACCACTGGAGCCTCGCTGCTCACCTACTTTCACTTCCAAGTCAGTTTTGCGGATCTCCCATGGTCCATTGTCTGAGACACTCCACGCAGGCTTGGGTCAGCAAACAGTCTTGACTGTCTGAACTCTTCTATGCAAGCCATTTGATTTTCTCGGTGTCTCCAACTGGGAAACAAATCCAAGAACCCATCCTCAAACTGACCTTGGTGCTCAGTGGCTCTCTACCCTGTGGATGTGGTCCAATTTATATACTTCATGGCTTCCATGGCGCGCCTATCCGCTGGTTCTGCAGCGCTGTCCACAAGGGCACCTCATCCACGATGGGCCCTCGAGCAATGTTGATGAGCACACCATCCGGCTTCATCTGCGCAAGCTCCTGGCAAGTCGGCAGGAGCACATGGCAGTATGGCCCACAAAACGTATCACCTGCCCTGTGGGCGGCCAGTCTTAGCTTGTCACTGCTCGCAAAGTGAGACGCGCAGAAAGTGTCAACTTGCTTAAGGGCCTGGAAAAAAGAACAACCCCATCATGGCATATCATGGCCATATACCAACCTGTGCTGCGTGTTCTTTGAAATCTACCTCCAACAATCGTTCTAGACGTCCCACGACCCATTCCCACCATCCATTCTGCCGTCTGCCGTCGTTGGCCTTGATTCCGATCATGCCCTTGGTCTGTGGCAGCAGCGGCACGGAAACCACCACGAAGTCACTCTCCTTCAGCAGCCGCGGCAGCTCCGCGTCTGTGCCTCCGAGAGAAGTAAGGTCAAACAAGTGGTGCCTGGGCTCACTGGTTGCGGAGGTTTTGATGGAAGTCCACTTCTACTCAAGAAGTAGTTGATTACATTCAAAGAAAACTTGGTTTGCTCACAAAAACTTGTTGATCCAACAGTGCACCTCTTCTACACAAGTGAGTTCACCTATCATGGACCCAGAAAATCCTGGGTGTCCATGTCTTTCCTGGCTATGTCAGCATGTGGGAGTCTGAGTAAACAGCTGAACCATTTAGGGGCAAGGATGCTACATCCCTTCATCTGGTATGAACATTAGGCCAAACCACCAAACCCAAGCCAAATTGGCACTCCTCCTCTCCACCTCCCCTCCGCCCTGCTACCCATCCTACCGCATCCTCGAGTTCTCGCCTACCCAGGCCATGTAGGGCGGCACCGTCGCGGGCAGCTTGGCGTCCACCGCGCAGACCCGCATCTTCAGCCCCGCGGCGCGCTCCGCGACGCCGCGGCCGATGGTGCCGAGCCCTAGAATTCCCACCTCGGACGCAACGGCACGGTGGCGCGACGGACGCAACGAGCCATGCAAAGCAATGCATTCAGCATTCTGATTCCGCACTAAGCCTTAAGCATTCACTGCGACCCCAAAAACAGGGACCAAAGCAATGCGATCAAATCACATCTTGTCTGAGGGATGTGCGTGTGCGAGGCTCGATTCGACTCTTGGAGGTGGTGTGGTTTCGGGTCGCTTCCCACGATGCGCGTCACGAAAAGAGTGGGCAAAGATTACAATCAAAAGAAAGAACGGTGGGGGGTCGAGGACGCTACTAGGAGCAAAGGGCATCGCTACTAGGAGCGATCGGACGCTACTAGGGGCTCCTGGCCTTACTACTAGGAGCAAGGATGCTACTAGGGGCAGAACGAGCTTTATGTGACTGGGAGCGCTGTCCTTCATTGGGTCATTCCAATGCAGACTAAAGGGATCCTCCAAAACTCTCTGGTGACTGCTGGCTCCTTCTGTTGAAGTTCTGTCCAGTCCAAACATCTCGTGAAGTAGAAGGAAAACAAACAGGATCTGTGTGCTTGATGGTTACCCAAGCCATGCAGTCAGTTGAACTCCTGGGTTTTGAGTAGATCATATGAGGAATTCGTCTAAACACATGTTCTCGGTGTGTCGTGGTCCACCAAATGTGTTCAGATCATTCTGACGGCCCTGGTCTCTCACAGGTTTGCAATGAATGCGGGGGCATAGACCCTTAGAGGACCAGCAAAGAGCAGTTGATCACCTCGGCCATCCTCCACCACCGCCACATCCTATTTTGAATGTTGGGAAAGTCAGTGATCAACAGCGGATGCAGGCTGTCCTTCTGTGGAGCTTCACATCTGGCCAAGCGGCCGTTTGGTTTTGCACCTCCTGAGGAGGGACGATCATCAACGAAACACAAGGATAATGGTTGCCTGTCATCTGAGAAAGTCACGATCCAGGAAATCTAGCGCAAAAGAAACAAGGAAAGCTGTCGCATAATTCAATGGGACTCACTGTTCCAGCTGTCGGCTGTACCAAATAGCAAGAATGCTCCTAGCGGTAAGGCCAGGAGCCCCTAGTAGCATCCTTGCTCCTAGTAGCGATGCCAGGAGCCCCTAGTAGCGAACATTGTTACTACTAGTAAGGCACTTGTTACTAGAAGCGATGCACTTGTTCCTAATAGCTCCTTGTTGCGCAGATTTGAGAGGTGAAGGCATTTTTCACGTCTTCTGTCTCTCGTCTCCGCGTCCTTGTGCATCGGCGGCCTGCGGCAGGTGTTGACCATGTCGTCACGCCAGGTGCATCGGCGGAAGTCAGCGTCCATCTGGAGGATCCGAACCTGCAGAAAAGGTCGAAGGCCGTGAAGGCCAAAATTAAAGGACCGGATAACCCCACATATGAATCTACGAATCTTACGTTTCTAAAGCACAAAGCAGTCAGAGTCTCAATAGCTTCTACAACACGGCCTTGTCAGGAAGTGATATCAGCTTCCTACAACAGAGGGGTGGGAGAGAAGGTGTAAGAGAGTGATGTGCACGACGGATGTACGAGGTATTGTGCACACAGGTGTGCGCAGCCACAACTAGCCAACAACACCAGCGGTTGTCGCACGTCCGCAATATGGGGCATAATGTACGAAAGTTGTACTACAAAGTCGCCAGTTCTCAGCTTCCAGCTCCACAGATTGCTCCGCGTACTAAA